AGTAGTAGTAGTAGTAGTAGTAGTAGTAGTAGTAGTAGTAGTAGTAGTAGTAGTAGTAGTAGTAGTAGTAGTGGTAGTAGTAGTAGTAGCAGTAGTAGTAGTAGTAGTAGTAGTAGTAGTAGTAGTCGCAGTTGTAGTAGTAGTGGTAGTGGTAGTAGCAGAAGGCGGAGGAGGAGGAGGAGGAGGAGGCCCTGAGAGGCCTGGCCTCTCTGGGGAGGCCGCGGGAGGCTGAGGGAGGCTGCCGTTCCCGTTGTCGTTCCCGCTTCTTGGGTCGTCTAGAAGGCTTTGGGGAGGTAGACGGGAACGGGAACGGGAACGGGAACGGGAACGGGAACGGGAACGGGAACGGGAACGCGACCGGGAACGGGAACGGGAACGGGAACGGGAACGGGAACGGGAACGGACCTATAGGGCGTTCGCGTTCTTTTACGGGGGCCCCCCCCCCTTCCCCCCCATGCTTCCCGTCTCCTCGGGCCGGCGCTTGCGTAGGCGGCGGCTGGCGACGGCGGCGGGGACGACGATTTCCATTTCTGGGCCAGCGCCGGCCGGCGCCTGCGGCGGCGGGCGGCAGTGGCGGGGAGCGTCGACGAGGACGACGGTGGTGGTGGTGGTGGTGGTGCTGGGTTGTGATGGTGGTGGTGGCGGTGGTGGTGGTTGTGATGTTGGTGGTGGTGTGGTGGTTTGTTGTGGTGGTGGTGGTTGTGGCGGTGGGTGGTGGTGGTGGTGGTGGTTCGGTGGTTTGGTGGTGGTGTGGTGGTGGTTTGGTGGTGGTGGTGGTGGTGGTGGCGGTGGTGTTGGTGGTGTGGTGGTTGTTTGTGGTGGTTGTGGTGGTGGGTTGTGGTTGTCGCGGTGGTTTGTGGTGGTGGTGGCGGTGGTGGTGGTGTGGTGGTTTGTGGTGGTGGTGGTGGTGGGTTGTGCTGCTGGTAGTGGTGGTGGTTGTGGCGGTGGTGCTGGTAGTGTGGTAGATAGTGGTGGTGGTGGCCGTGGTGGTGGGTTTTTGTGGTGGTGGTGATGGTGAGTTGTGGTGGTGGTGGTGGTGGTTGTGGTGGTGTGGTGGTGGTGTGGTGGTGGTTCGTGGTGGTGGTCGTGGTGGTGGTGGGTTGTGGTGGTGGCGGTGGTTTGTGGGCGTTTGTTGTTGTGGTGGTGGTGGTGGCGGTGGTGGTGGTGGTGGTGTGGTGGTTTGTGGTGGTGGCGGATGGTTGTGTTGCCGGTAGTGGTTGTGGCGGTGGTGGTGTTGGTGGTGGTGGTGGTGTGGTAGATTGTGGTGGTGGTGGTAGTGGTGGTGGGTTCTTGTGGTGGTGGTGATGGTAAGTTGTGGTGGTGGTTGTGGTGGTGGTGGCTGTGGTGGTGGTGGTTGTGTGGTGCTGTTGTTGTTGTTGTTGTTGTTGTTGTTGTTGTTGTTGTTGTTGTTGTTGTTGTTGTTGTTGTTGTTGTTGTTGTTGTTGGAGGTGGTGGTGGTGGTGGTGGGTTGAGGCGGTGGTGGTGGTGGTAGTGGTGGTGGTGGTGGTAGTGGTGGTAATCGTCGCTGCGTCCCCGCCGTCGCCGGCGCCAGCGCCGGCGGTGCTGGCCGCCGCCAGCGCCGGCGCCGGCGCGAAGGGAGGGGGGGTTTTGAACCCCCACCCTTCCCGGCGCCAAGGGGGGGGGGTTTGAACCCTCCCCCCCTGTGAGGTGGGGGGTTCGGGAGAGGAGGGGAGTCCCCCTAGTTTTGATCGACGGCGCCAAGTGTTGGGGGGGGGCCCACCCACCGGTTTGAAACGCGCCGCCGAACGTTCCCAAGGCAAGCGCCCGTGACACGCGTTCTCTCAAGCATCATCTACCCATTATCATACATATTTTCCTTAACCCTGAATCTCCGCCTAAATCTTCATTCGCGCCTTCGCAGCTTAAATCGCCATTTACTTGTGCCTCTAAAAAATTAGTTGCGGTCCCACTGCTCGCGTATTCCCCAGAATATCTACTTCAATCTTCGCTCGCGCTCTCGATGCTGCAAATCTGGCTAGAAACTTTGCTCTCGCCCTCAGTGCTTAAATCTTCGCCGAAATCTTCACTCGCGCTGTCACCGGCTATATCTTCACCCAAATCTTGACTCGCGCTCTCGCTGCTTGAATATTTTCAAAGATCCCCCCCTAAATCTGCTTTCTCGCACTCGCATAATACATTTTCACCAGTAATCTCTATCTGAATCCTCACTTGCGCTCTCGCCGCTTAGATCTTCGTCAACATCTTCACCCAAATATTGACTTGCGCTCTCGCTGCTTGAATCTTGGCCGAATTCTTCGCTCGCGCTCTGCAGGCCCGCATTTTCACCGACATATCGGCCTCAATCTCCATTCGCGGCATGACGGCTCAAATAGTCACCGAAATCCGCCCAAACTCTTCACTCGCGCTCTCACGGCTTAAATATGCAGCATAATCTTTAATTAAATCTCCACTCGCGCTTTCACTGCACACGTATTCAATTCAATCTCCGCCCCAATTTTCACTCGCGCCCTCGCTGCTTAAATCCTCGTCCCAATCTTGAATCGAGCTGTCACCGATCAAATCCTCGCTCAAGTCTCGACTCGAGCTTTCTCGCTGCTGGAATATTATCATAATAAATCTTCATTCATATTCAGCAACATCTCCATCATAATCTTCACTTGCGCTCTCACCGCTTAAATCTTCACCCAACTCCTCACCTAAATCTTCACACGCGCCCTCGCCGCCTAAACGTGCACCAACATCTTCACCTAAATCTTCACTTGCGCTTTCACGGTTTAAATCACCACTTAATTGTTCATTTGATTCGTCACTCGCGCCCTCGCTGCTCAAATCTTCATCTGAACTTTCACTTCGATTGACACTCGCGCTCTCGCTGCTTACATCTCCACCTGACTCGTCGTCGTCGTCGTCGTCGTCGTCGCTTGTGTGCTCGCTGGTTTTGTTATTCGTTTTGTTGGCGGCCCGGTGCCGTGTCGCCGCTTGGTTCTGCGTTTTGTTTTCGGCTGCTCGGGGGCCGCTGTTTTGTTCACCCGCCGCTCTGTTTCAGAACGGCCCGCGCGACGCGGGCCGGCGTTTTCGTTTAAACTGTACTTGAAACGAAATGTTAACGAAATCAGTAAACACTGTTCAGGTTCAGCCCTGGTACGGTGCAGAGGCGCCGTTCCCGTGGGAGGGGTGCGGCGTTGGCCCCCCACGGTGGCCCAGTGTGGTCCAGCGCGCCACGTCCGGCCACCGCTGCGAGGCCGCGGACGCCCTGACACACCGCCGTGAGCCAGCTCGAGGCCCGCCGACGGGAGGCGCAGATGCGGCACACGGCAGCTGCCATGGACGAGCGACAAGCGCACACCCGCACCCGTGGGCGAGTTTGGGGGGGCGGGGGCTGGCTGTGGGCATGGGTGCGCGTTGTCGGACCCCCAGGGAGGTTCCATTTCGGGCGGGGCCCCCCATCCGACAGCATGCACCCGCAGCCATTTCCGTCCCACCCATGGGTACAGTGGGGCCCATGCCAAGAAACACCTTGGTTGCCTCCAGGGTGCCCTGGATTTCTTGGGTTTCTTGGGTTTCGATGGCTTCGCGATGGAAAGCGTGACTCTCCCACACCAGAAATCAGTGGACGTCCTGGGGTCTCGGGGTCGGGCTGCTTGTGGAAGGTCTCTTGTGGACTGGCCTCCACTGTATGGGTGCGTGTGCTGTTCGCTCGTCAGCCATGCCGCCTGACGGCGCACCGAGTGCATGGGCCCCCTCCCGTTCCCAGCGTGTCCTCGCGCCCGTGGTGCCTACTACTCCTGCTGCTGCCCCCCCCTTCGTCCTCCCCGCCGTCGCTCCTCCTGCCGCTCCTTCCGTTCGCCGTCGCTCCTCGTCTTTCTCCTCCCGGCCATCCCTTCGCGCCCCCCCTCTCTGCCGCGCCACCTTCTACTCCTCGGCCCCCAGCGCCCCTCTTCGTACGAGGCAACGCCCGGGAGGTTCGATTCAGCATCCGCTCTGGTGTGTGTGCGGTCCAAGGCCGGCCTGATCTGGCATAGCCCCCTTGATACAGTTCAATCCCACGCAGTCGGTTTAGTCGGGTTTTCTTCTGGGCCCAATCAGGGCCAGTCCAGCTCAGTGGCCCTCAATCGGGCCGAAGGGACCCACATTTTTCTCTCGGAGACCTCCCAGGAGTTGCTTCCCAGCTTCCGCGTGCACCGTACCGCGTTTTGGCGCCTCCCGATGCGTCGTCGATCCTCGACCCAGGAATGGTACGGTGCGTGGCTGTTCGGCCCTCGGCGCCGAGAAAGTCTGCACCGTACCGCGTCGGGGCGGGGCCTGAAGGGAGTCCAAACATGGTAAGGTGCATGGGCGCCGCTGTTGTAGAGTGCCAAGAACAATAAGTGGCATAGACATACATTATTGGCGCTCCGCGCGGATATCTTGAATCGTCGCTGAACTCCTTTCCCTGGCGCGCGGAGCCCGCTAGGGGCGGCACTGGAGGCGCTGCCAGGGGGGGCCAGCGCCGATCCAAGAACTCGCGCGGAGCGTCGACAGTTTCTGCTTGTGCAGGTTTTTTTCCCCTGCACACCTCCACCTGGGCGACGCAACAAAAAAAACGGGTTCGTCTTCACCGACATTCGCGCGTAAACTGCTCGCGTAAGGTCACGAGTATGCGCCCTCGTCTCCAATGTGGCGTTCCGCGCCGGCGGACCACGTAAGCAGCCGCTTGAGGTCGCTACGCCACCTCGCGTAAGATCCGTTTTGATCGTCGCCCACCTGATGCCCTCCTCCTCCTCCTCCCTCCTCCCTCCTCCTCCTCCTCCTCCTCCTCCTCCTCCTCCTCCCTCCTCCTCCTCCTCCTCCTCCTCCTCCTCCTCCTCCTCCTCCTCCTCCTCCTCCTCCTCCTCCTCCTCCATCCTCCCTCCTCCTCCCTCCTCCTCGTCTTGCCTCCTCCTCCTCCTCCTCCTCCTCCTCCTCCTCCTCCTCCTCCTCCTCCTCCTCCTCCTCCTCCTCCTCCTCCCTGCTCCCTCCTCCTCCACCTGATGCCCCAGGTGCCCTTCGACGCGCCAAACATACCGGGCCTGGTGCAGAAGATCGTCCGAGGCCGCCGCCGGCGCGGCGGCCCTGCTCTCCGTGCCTCCCTGCGCCGTGTCGCCGTGCGGCGGCTGCGGCCCCCGCGCAGCAGCCCCCCTCTTCTCGGCCGAGGCGGAGCGAAAGGCACACGATCGGCGGCGAGCGCGGGGGGGGGGGGAAGTTTCGGGGTCGAGGTTCGAGGTTTTCGCTGTTTTCGTCGGTTTTCGGAGGTTTTCCAGCCTCGGGATGCTTGCCAGCAGCTGCGCCTCGCCGCGGGCGTTCCGGGGGTGCCGGGATCGTCCCGAAGGGCCGCTGGAGACCCGAGTTATGACCCAGAAACCAAGTTCGGCGGCGCGCCCAGGGAGGAAGTGAGAAGGAGAAGGCCTTCGCAGAAGGCGGCGGGGCTTCTTAGAAGCCCTCGCGCCTTCTGAGAAGTTGTGTGTGTGTGTGTGTGTCTCTTCGGGGAAGACTTGGGAAGCTTCTCAGAAGGCCGGAGGACTTCCGAGCCTTCTGAGAAGGTCCGCCGCCTCTCGTTTCACCCCCTGGCTGGCCACCATGGGGGAGGAGGAGGAGGAGGAGGGGGAGGGGGAGGACGGGGATGATGATGATGATGATGATGATGATGATGATGATGATGATGATGATGATGATGATGATGATGATGATGATGATGAGGAGGAGGAGGAGGAGGGGAGGAGGAGGAGGAGGAGAGGAAGAGGAGGAGCAGGAGGAGAGGAGGAGGAGGAGGAGGAGGAGGAGGAGGAGGAGGAGCAGGAAAACGGGGTCGCCTTCGCCGACATTCGCGCGGCTGCCCGCGGAAGGTCACGCGTACGCGCCCTCGTTTCCACTGTGGCGTGCCATGCTGGCGACCCGTGTAAGCCACCGCGCCAGGTGGCTATGCCATCTCGTACAAGGCCGTGTCTTTTCGTCGCTCAGGTGGGGTCGCCAGGTGGTCAGGGGCAACGTGGAGGGGCAACGTAAGGGGGGATCGAGGTTCGAGGTTTTCGGGCGTTTTCGTCGGTTCTCGTCGGTTTTCCAGGTCCGCGGTGCTCTTCAGCAGCTGCGCCTCGTCGAGGGCGTTCTGGGGGTGTCCAGCTCGTCCCGAACGACCGCCAGAGAGCCGAGTTATGACCCGAATGCCAGGGAGCAACGTTAGGAGGGATAGGCTCAGGGGGATACATCGATCCCCAATCGCCCACTCATCGCCGACAGGGGCCCGCTAGCCCACTCCGTCCAGGGAGGTGCGGATTCGCCATCGGGGGCTTATCGCCGACCTATCGGCGATGTACCGCCGAAACCGGCTCGATGTATCCCTCTGCCCCCTGAGCCAACCCCCTCTCCTCACCGTGCCGCGGTAGCTCAGCCCCACCAGCCCACCCTTTTGGGTGGGGGTGGGCACCGCGAGCCCCGCAGGAGCAGGGACACATGATCCCGGGCCAAGGGTTCACAGGCCCCCCCGGCCAGATAGGATGGACCCCAGGGTTCCAAAGGCATCCCCACCCGCCAGATGAGATGGGAGGGATGACGACGACGATCACGTCGACGATGACGATGATGACGATGGGCGGCGACGACGACGACGCCGACGACGACGACGAAGACGGCCCCAGGGTTCGAAAGGCCCCCCCCCGCCAGATGGGACGACGACGACGACGACGACGACGGACAACGGACGACCACGACGACGACGACGACGACGGACGACGACGACGACGACGGACGACGGACGACGGACGACGGACGACGGACGACGATGATAACGGACTACGACGACGACGACGGACGACGACGGTGGACGACGGCGACGACGGACCACACGACGACTACGACGACGGAGGACGACGGACGACGACGGACCACGGACGACGGACCACGACGACGACGACGACGGACGACGGACGGCGGACGACGACGACGACGACGACGACGACGGACGACGGGATACGACGACGACGACGGCCGACGACGACGACGACGGACCACACGAAGACTACGACGACGGAGGACGACGGACGACGACGGACCACGGGCGACGACGACGACGACGACGACGGACGACGGGAGACGACGACGACGACGACGGCCGACGACGATGACGACGATGACGACGGCGACGACGAACGACGGACGGCGACTACGACGGACGACGGACGACGGACGACGACGACGACGACAACGACGACGACGGACCACCGAGGACAACGATGACGACGACGACGGACGACGGACGACGATGGACGACGGACGACGACGACGACGACGATGACGGACGACGGACGACGATGACGATGACGACGACGACGGACGATAACGACGACAACGGACGACGACGGACGACTGACGACGACAACGACGACGACGGACCACCGATGACTACGACGACGACGTGACGGACGACGGCGACGGACTACGACGACGACGACGATGACGGACCACGGACGACGACGACGACGACGACTGCGGTCCCAGTGTTCCAAAGGCCCCCCCCCCGAGAGATGCGGATGGGGGGGATGACGACGACGACGACAACGACGACGGACGACCGACGATGATGACGAGGACGACGAGGACGACGACGACGACGGACCACGGACGACAATGACGACGACGGACAACGACGACGACGGACGACGACGACGACGGACGACGACGACGACGGACGACGGACGATGGACAACGACGGCGACGACGACGGACGACGACGACAACGACGACAACGACGACTGACGACGGACGACGTTGACGACGACGACGAACGACGGACGACGACGGCGACGACGACGACGGACGACGACGACGACGGCGGGCGATGACGACGACGACGATGACGACGACGACGACGACAACGAACGACTGACGACGACGACGACGACCACGGCGGCCGACGACGGCGGACGTCGGCGACGACGACGACGACGGACGACGGACGACGGACGACTACGACGAAGATGACGACGACGGACGACGACGACGACGACGACGGACGACGACGACGACGACGACGGACGACGACGACGACGAACACGGACGACGGACGACGGACGACGGACGACAGTGACGACGACGACGACGACGACGTCGGACGACGACGACGACGATGTCGGACGACGGACGACGGACGACGACGACGACGCCGAAGACGACGACGACGAAGACGACGGACGACGACGACGACGAAGACGGACGACGGGCGACGGACGACGGACGACGGTGACGACGACGACGACGACGGACGACGACGACGACGATGCCGGACGACGGTCGACGGACGACGACGACGGTCGACGACGACGACGACGTGCGACGACGACGAAGACGACGACGACGACGGACGACGGTCGGCGACGACACCGACGACGACGACGACGACGGACGACGACGACGACGGACGACGCACGACGGACGACGACGACGGGCGACGGACGACGGACGACGACGACGACGACGACGGACGACGGACTACGGACGACGACGACGACGACGACGGACGATGGACGTGACGGACGACGACGACGACGATGGACGATGGACGACGACAACGGACGACGACGGACGACTGACAACGACGACGATGACGACGACGGCCGACGACGACGGACGACGACGACGACGACGGACGACGGACGACGACGACGACGTCGACTTCGACGACGACGGCGATGGACGATGGACTACGGACGACTGGCGACGGACGACGGACGACAGACGAAGGACGACGGACGACGGAGACGACGACGATGACGGCGACGACGACGACGACGAGGGACGACGGACGGCGACGACGACGTCGACTACGACGACGGACGGCGACGGACGATGGACGACAGACGACGGACGACTGAACACGGACGACGGACGAAGGACGACGGACGACGGAGACGACGACGAAGACGACGACGACGCAAATTGCACCGCAGTTCCCCCCGTACCACGACTGACGAAGGACGACGGACGACGACGACGAACACGACGACGAAGATTGCACCGCAGTTCCCCTCGTACCACGACTGACGATGGACGACGACGGACGTCGACGACGAAGACGGACGACGACGACGACGACGACGACGACGACGGCGACGACGACGGACGACGGACTACGGACGACGACGACGACGACGACGACGACGACGGACGACGACGACGACGACGACGACGACGGACGACGGACGACGACGACGACGGACGACGACGACGACGACGGCGATGACGGACGACGACGACGATGACGACGACGGACGACGGACGACGGACGACGGTCGACGGACGACGGTGATGACGACGAAGACGACGGACGACGACGACGACGAGGCAGGGCGACGACGACGGACGACGGACGACGGACGACGACGTCGACGACGACGACGGATGACGACGACGACGGACGACAACGACGTCGACGTGCGACGACGACGACGACGACGACGACGACGACGACGACGACGGGGTCAGGAGTGGTGTGGTGGTGGTGTTGTTTGCGTTCTTGGGCGCTTGCGCGGGGCATCCTACGCCCTGCAGAGCAGCCAGTCCTGCAGCATCCCGGGGTGATTGGCGACGCTCTGATTCTGTCGCTTCTTCGATGTGGCAGAAGTCTGGGGGTCCGTCTCGGAGGAGAGAACTACGGAGCGTCAGAAACCTGTGCGGAAGCCGTCAGACAAGAGCAGCATCAAACTCTGGGAACCTCGAGAAGACACTAGCCACCCCCTCTCCCATCCTCCTCATCCTCCTCTTCCTCCTCCTAGGTGTATCCCCCAGGAGTCTTCTTTGAGCCAGAACGATGCAGGTCAGTTCCTTTCAAAGCTCAAAGCGGGACGGGGGGCTTCACGCAGTGGAAAGGATAGCCCGTAGGGACGTGCGAGAAGCGGACCTGGGACAGGAGCGTGCGTTGCAGCGTTTCAGATGCATCTTGGGTTTACTTTGGTCCTCGTCCTCCTCCTCCTCCCTCCTCATCCCTCCTCCTCCTCCTCCTCCTCCTCCCTCCTCCTCCTCCTCCTGCCCCTCCCCCACCCCCTCGCCCTCCTCCCCTCCTCCTCCTCCTCGCTCCTCCTCCTCTCTCCTCCTCCTCCTCCCTCCCCCTCCTCCTCCTCCTCCTCCTCCTCCTCCTCCTCCTCCTCCTCCTCCTCCTCCTCCTCCTCCTCCTCCTCCTCCTCCTCCTCCTCCTCCCCCTCCTCCCTCTGCGTCCCTGGAGGCCCGACGCCGTCGGTACCCGCGGCCTACTCCGAGTTCGTGCGGACCCTGTGCAGCCAGATGCTGAGCAGGAGGGGCGCGCGCGGTGCCAAGGGGCGGCAGAGGAGGACGCAGGTCGGAGGTTGATAGACCTCCTACCCTGACACGTCGATTAGCGAATTTGCCGTTTTCGGTTCGCGAGAGGGCGTCGCGGCCGTCATTTTTGCCGGTGCAGGTCCGTCGGTTTTGGTCCCAGGCCGTTTTCACTAAAGGGTGATTTACTAAAGGGAGGGTTGTCCCTCGCCGAATAGGGGGATCGACGGGAGGGAGACGAGGGAGAAGCGTCGCGGCTCAAGAGACGGGGGTCGATGCAAACGGGGGTCAGTCAGGGCGCCGGATCTTGCAGGATCCTGCAGGGCCGGGGCTGCATTGACCCTGGTGTGGGTGCAAGATCCTGCAGGATCCTGCAAGGCCCGACTGACCCGGGTCTGGATTGACCCGGTCTAGTAGATCCCCGAACGTACGAGGAGAGGCGACGAAGAGACGATTTCGTAAACATGCGCTTCTGGAGCTCCGCGCGCATCTCTTGGATCGGCGCTGGGCCCCCCCCTGGCGGCGCCTCTGGCGCCACAGCGCCAGGGATGGTGACCTGTGACCTCCGAAAGTTTGAGTTTATGGTTTTTGTTTTTAGTGGCCAGAGAGCAGTGCGAGTGGATGGGGGGATCGAAGGAGATCGGGAGTTGAGGGAGGGAGTGTGAATGAACCTCTGCCTATGCTCTCCTTCACTGTACCCGCTGCTTCTTTCGTCTCGCAGGCATTGGCTAGCACAGTGTTGGACTAGCAGAAAAGGGTTGAGGTCCCTCATCACTTCAGCATCATCGTTCATTCATCGCCACCGCCTTGACCGACGGATGCTCGGCAGGGGATTGTCGGTATCGTTCAACCGATCCCCATCCCCATCCCCATCCTCTTTGAGACCCCCACCAAATCATCACACCAGTTGGGGATACACCCCTCGAAACCCGAAGGGGACGACCTATATCCCCATCTGGGGGGGTACATCGGCCAGTGGGGCCAAGGCCACGCCGCTGGGGATGGGGATCGGTTAGACGATACTCAGATTGGCCCTTCGGTCAGAGCCTTCCCCGACACGGGTCACCAGCCGTTCCTTTTGTTTGTGGGGGAGGAGGAGGAGGAGGAGGAGGAGGAGGAGGAGGAGGAGGAGGAGGAGGAGGAGGAGAGGAGGAGGAGGAGGAGGGAGGAGGAGGAGGAGGAGGAGGGGAGGAGGAGGAGGAGGAGGAGGAGGAGGTCCCTCGTGTGTGCGGCAGGCCTCGCGCGGCGGGGCTGCAGCTCTGCCCCGACCGGCGGCGCCGCCCCTCCCTCGGGCGGGTGTGTGCCGCCTCTCGCGGCGGGTGCCGGCGACTCCCCCCGCTTCGCGGGGCCTTCGCGCACAGCCTCGAGGATATTGTGGGCCCTGGCAAGGCCCCTCCTCCTCCTCCTCCTACCTCCTCCTCCTCCTCCTCCTCCTCCTCCTCCTCCTCATCCTCCTCCTCCTCCTTCCCTTCTCCTCCTCTCCTCCTCCTTCCTCCTCCTCCTCCTCCTCCTCCTCCTCCTCCTCATCCTCCTCCCCGCGCCAGTGTACCCCTTTCCCCAGCCACTCGCGATACGCCCCAGGGTCTGATGCTCACGATGCCTTCGGCGATCCGAGCTGACACGCCCCCCCCCCCCCCACCTTGGGACCCTCGACCGCGGAGCTTTCGCCCCTTTTGCCCAGCGCCTGGGGGGGGACCCCCACCCCCCGCAGGCAACGGCCATGGTGGACTGAGTCATTCCCGGGATGCTCACTTCTTGCGGGGTCAACTCCTGCCAGCATTGGCTCCCATGGGCCTCGCAACGCCCAGGACGTTCGAATCCCAGGAGTCTTTGACTTCGCCGCTTACAGCTTGCGGGGGGAAGCTCTTGCAAACGCCCACACTATGGCCGGTAGCGCGCCTGTGGGACTCCCAGTCCCCGCAGGTGTCCCAACTACGTTGGGCCCCCGTGGCTCCATGGAGTGGGCGCGCCATGTCTCCGGTCCAGAGCGTGCCGCGCAACAGTTCTCCGCCGTGAAAAGATCCTCTGCCGCTGCCGCATCCGATGCGGCCGTTTTGACAGGAATTCCAGGACATCGACGAGGCCGTCCAATTCGACCGCCAGGTCGTTGCTCAGGTGATGGCTCGAGCCGGCGAATCCCGACTCACCTCTGTCAAGTCCGACTTCCAACGCCTCATGGCAAATCTCCGTGTTGTCCGAGGTCACCGAGGCTCGCGAGCTCGATTTCTCCATGAAGAGATACGGGCGCGCGCGCTGGCCCTTCCAGGCCCGGCGCCTGCCGCCGTCCGCAGGCGCCTACAAGAGTTTCGAGACATGGCTACATCTCAAACAGCCGCCCTACGTTCCGAGACCCGCGGCGTCCAACGATCCTTTTATGGCAAGTTCAGCCGAGCAGAGAGCGCCGTCTTTCAACGCTTCAGTGCCTCCCGTATCGCAGCCGTTCCAGCCTGATCCGCCAGAGTCTTCGCGCTCGAACATGCCGTGGCTGAGCTGCGTGTTGCATGGGCTCGGATTGGCCAGCTGGGCATCGCCTCGATTGGCTACCCCGCCCCCATCGGTGCCTGAGGTTCAGACCTGGCGGGCGACGGTGGGCCAGGTGCAATGCCAGCTTTACAAAGTTTAAGCTGCGAGAGATGCCTCGGCGGCGCTGGCATCTGAGGTTCAGGCCCGCCTGGCGACGCAATCGCAGGAATATAGCGATGTGCAATTTACTGTGTCCGACCTGACCTCTGGGGATGAAAGACAGCGAGCCGCGGATATCTACGCTGGGTGGATTTTCGGGGGGAGTGGAGCAGCTGCAATGTGTTCGCGCCGTCATCGGCGACGAGTTGTCTGCCCGCGTGGCAGGCGCTACGCAGCGCCGCCCGCGGCGGCTGCGCCGGAACCACATTACACGAACCAGGCTGAGCCCATCTCCAGCCCGCGCCACCCGCGCCGCCAGAACGGTTGCGCCCGCCGCAGCGGCGGATGGGCCTCCCGCGGACGGCGCGCGCGAGGCTGCGAGTTACCGAGCCCAACCGTCGCTCTTGGTTCCACGGCCGCAGTGTCTCAGCGTGCAATCGGCGGCGCTCCCATCGCGGTCCCAGCCGCGATCGAGACGTTCGAGACCGTCAGGGTTCCTTGCCTTCCCAAGATTAACCATGTGCTTGAATTGCAGCAGAAATTGCGCGAGGCCTTTGCGGTGCCCCAGGAAGGCCCGCCGCGGCCTTCAGATGCATCTGCGTCGCCGAGCAGCCGCGCGTGCACTTGGAAGACCTGCGCGACCCCGGGGACTTCGAGAGTCTGGGCGGCCAGCCCGCAGCTGCGCCAAGAGAGATCCTCTCGACTGAATTGCGCCAGGACGTCAGATTCTCGCAAAAATAATACGCATCTCTGACAGGTGCGCGTGCTCGCAGCGTGCCTGCTCTATTTGCATTTCCTACACCCCTATGGTGTTGAAGGTTGTCGTTGGCCCCGTTCGCGACATCGCACTTGCCGACGCGCTGCGCCTGCGCGATGCAGACGTGAAGATGTTTGCCAGATTAGGCTTGTCGAATGTTGGAGCTCCGCGAGTCACCTTCACCCAGCGTGCCTGTGTTTCTATTTCGCCCCCGGATGCGCCGCCGTCCACGGGCGCGCGAAGACGCGGCAGTTTGCAGCAGGGCGCTGAACGCCGATCCAGAAACATCTAGCGCCTGGCTTCGCCAGAGAGTCAATGCTACCATCGTGCTGCGATGGTTTCGACGTAATCAGCGCGGACTTAACGACCGCTCCACAACCGATGCAGGGGGGCCGTTTGCAAGGGGGCCGCGGGGGCAATCCTGCGCTGCATTCAGTGAGGGGAAATGCGCGAAAAGAAAGGAGTTAAGTCCAAGCCGCTGCATGCTGGTTCCGATGCTCGACCACCATTCCGACCGCCATCCAGTTCCGCCAGGCAGCGACGCAGTTCCCCGAGACTTACGGCGGGGCCGCCCGCCAATTTTGCCATGCCTTCGCAGCGTCGGGGCCCTGTCCGTGCGGTGGTCTTTGCAGCCGACCTCGCTTCCCGAGCAGCGGCTGCAACGAGCTCGTCTTTACGTCGTGGGCAACCGGTGCGTTTGCCCTCGCGTCTGTTCCAGCCGCCGGGCTCCGCCTCGGAGACCGAGGCGCCCGCGCGGCCCGCGGCCGTCGCGGAGTCCAGAGGGTCGCCGCCCCTCTGACCGCGGCCGCTGCCCATCTCGCAGTCTCGGGGGCGCCCGTCGATCAGGTCTCGACGGGCGCGGTCGTCGCAAGCGTTCGCGGCCCCCTGCCCGCGACTCCTGCCGCCGATCCCGCGACTCTCGCCGAGGCCCCTTAGTCGGAAGGGGCCCGCCCCAGGATTCGCAGCGCCCCCAGCGCAGTCGATCGAGATCCAGGGGTTCCCGCGGTCGCTGGGGCCATCGCAGTCAGTCCCGCCCGCTGGGGCGCGACCCGCGCGTCGGCCGGTCGCCCGGGCCGCGCCGCGGGCGACGGCGCGGCCTAGCGCGCCGAATCAGAATCATTGCGCTGGCAGCTTATTTAGCGCAAGCGCGCGCCGTCTCCTGGGGCCCGAGCGTCGCCGATGTCCGCGCGTTCACCGTGTCCGCGAAGATGTGGTCGTGCAAGGATCCGCCCAATCAGGGTGGCGCTGCGCGCGCCCCTGTACCCCTGCCCGACTCACATCAAAAGGGGTCCGCTCGGGAGGGGCTTGGCTGCGGCGCGTGGCGAGGCATTGAACTCCATCGGCGCTATTCAATGCTACGTCGACCGCCGAGTGTCTGCGACCGTTGCGCCAGCGCGCCCGACCAGGGGCGCCGCGGCGGGCGGCGTGACCGACTGCGGGGGGGAACTCTTGCAGCGGCAGTTTACAAAGACCCAGCAGTTCTTCCGATCGTTGGTCCTTGGCGGCGGACAGGTTCACCGCGTCGCTGGCAAACTTGGCCTTGTCCACGAGGAGATGCAGCTTATTTTCCGCGGCGATGAGCATCCTCGAATCGGCAAATGGCGAGCGCGCTGTGGATGAGCGCAGTTGGTTCCAGATGCCAGAGTTCAAGCTCAACAATGAC